CCTTCCCGCATTATTTCTCGCCGTTATGCCAATGCCTGCGAGGGCTCTAGGTTGAATCCCACGGCACAACGGGAAGATCATTTCACATAACCCAATCGGTGCACGCTCTGTCATTGATAGTTGATTGGCTGACAACCCGCTGTAATTGTCGCCTTTTTGCTGCTGTCGGTGATGTTGCTGCTGCTTCCTCTTAGCCCTGCAGGAGTTCGAGAGCTCAGAACAATAAACAAACTGTTTCTGTCCTCTACCGGTCTTATACTTTACTTATTGTAGCCATTGTTATTCCAAGACCCCGTACCCGACGAGGCACAGGTGAGCTATATCTCAAAGTAGCCGTGGATGCACCGAGCAACTATCCCCGTTGCGGATTAAATGTTTCATTGATCTCAGCAGTCGAAGAGATTTCGCTTTGGCATTTACACTTCGTTATGTGTAAATCAGTTGTCGGCAAATAATAGCGCTGTAGTCAATATCAGCGGTGCCCAAGTACTTTTGCCCTACAAGCTGATAACTTTTCGATATTGTGCCGACAGTTCGACCACCATTGGCCCTGTCGCCTACTCTACGTCATTTAGCGGATTCGCAGAAACCTCATAGGCACTTCCTAAGCTGTTGAATTTGCCTCCAAGACTTCGACTGACAAGCCTGGGCATTTTGTTGTTGTTGCTTTTGAAAAGTTAAAAGTTGATACCAACTCTCGAAAATGCATCCTACTGGTTTAAAACTTGCTCTCAAATCTTTACTTTTTGGCGTTTATGTAGGCCGATGAAACTGAGGACTTTGAGGATCTTTTTCTAGAACCTAATGATGCGGACCATTTTCCACCCGATGACCTTGCTGTCTTTCGTGACCCGACTTCTCCAACTGCAGACGACATCATCGAGTCGACTTTTGCTGAGGAAGTCCCTGTGTAAGCGTACTGTAAACCGGACCCTCCACTTTTAAAGTGCTTTGGCTTCTGACGGATCATGCGTTCTTTCTTCAAATATAGATCCGGTTTACCGCAGCTGCCTCAGGTGGATGGCGTTGATGACTCAAATATTCCTGATCAAAGTGAGTGCATACGACTGTTCCCTAGTGTGTTTTGCTAGTTGTTTCGGCGAGATTGCTTATAGAGGCCCCAAAAATCCCGTCGACTTATTATGAAAAAACTGCCTTCATGTGTTCGGTAGCCTGACTTTAAATTTTTTCGTTAAATTTCACCAATAGGAGGATGAATTTCCATTTTCGTTAAATTTCGCGTACATAAGTTCGAATTTTCCCCGATTTGCATTCGTAACCTGCGCTACAGAAGTTGATGTTTATTCTACTTTGGCATATTTAAATAAACCTGGTCTTATTTAATTTAATATTTTTTGACCACTTCCGCCACAATTACGTATTAATTTACGTTTACTAGCCAAGAATTGAATATTTGACCTCAAAATATGTTAAGCAGTTGGGCAGGGGGATAGATATCTAGAAGGACCCTACAAATCAATTTTGCCGTTGTTTCTTGCGAGTTGTGTGTAACAGACTTTATCTGGGATTCTGAAACTACTGGTACATGTGACTGAGAAAATGGAAGTGAAATACAGAGCCTTGCCTAACTCATGCAGAATGCCGAAATTTACGGAAGATAACTTATCACTCGCAAACTAGCGCCACCAAATGGTCGAAAACTTTGAAATAATAATGAACAACTCTAAGCGAATTCGAAACATGAAAAATATTGAAAGTCATATTACTTTATTTAAAAATACGAATTTTTTTAAAAAGCAGGAAATTTCAAAATTGCGAACATTCGCGGCAATTGCGTAGACTTAGGTTGTAGACTTACGGAAGGCTTGTTCATGCAATAAAATGAGTAAATAAATCAGCACGATTATAATTTCCTTTGATAATAGTGCTTAACTGCATTTTGCACTTAAAGATCCTTCAAGAGTGAGGACAATATCAAGGGCGGGCGTTAGCAAGCGACCTCCGGTTTGAGTATCGTTTCTAACCAAGTTTCACAAGAATGCTCGTGTTTTCCTCCGTTTCTGGATTGATTGAGAACGATTGACTAAAACAAACAGGTTTTTACTCGACTTCGTCACAGGAATAAAAATCGTCATAAGGTCACATGTTGATTAATTCAAATAGAATTGTCAGGTGCGATCGTAAACCTGCCATTTTGTGTAGAAAGAGAATTTTACTTTCGTAAAATTTATTCTAGGTATTCCTGGACCTGGGTTATAAAGTGTTTCAGATCGTTCCTGAAATAGTGTTGAATACTTCACGATTTTATAAGTTTTCACTGCATAGCCGATAACTGTAGGTTCTTTTCTATGTGTTAATCAAAACCTTCAAAAGGAAAGAAAAGACCCGTAGCTGCTATTGCTCTCTGACTATGTCTCTGATGAGGAATCCGCGACGGATCTCGAAATGTCAGGCGAATAAAATTATTGTCCCAGCGATCGAGTCGTCTTCTTCTCAGTTACGGCGCATGGCCGTTTGGGTTATATCCGAAGAAACAAGAAAGTATGAAATCTTATCGCTGAGAAAAATAAACGTTCACGACGAAAATCCGCAAATTATATACCTGAGATCAATAAGAAAACTTTCTGTAATAAGTTAACTCTTCAAAAAAGGCTTTAACTAGATATTTTGTCGAAGGATTTCTGCGTACTTTACCTTTTTCCAAGGTCAAGTCAAAGTGAAAATGGGAAGAATAAGTAAAACGTTTACCGTTTCAAATTTAGGAATTGAATTTCTTGCACATTGCTTCGTCTGATTTAAGTGGCGAATGAAATGCATTTTCATGCGTGGTAAGTTCCGCGTGTTAAAACTCGGGATTTTTGATCGCTGTCTTCTTAGAGGGAAGCACCCGCAGACGCGCAAACTTGATCTAAGATAACTAGTAGCATAGGAAACCGCTGAAACAGAAGATATCACTGGTTGACACTTAAATTTATAAAACCTTTCACTGCTATAATTGTTTATAAACATATTCTGCATGCAAAAGCATCTTTGTGGAATATGTTAAATGAATAAATACAGTGCGCTGCCTTTCAGTTGCTTTTCCTTGATAGTCTTAATTTCTGTAATTATTTTTCATAGGATAGGTCGCATACTGTACTTGAAATTCCTTGTCTGGTTCCATTTTGTTACTATACACGTCGATTAGCCACCCCTAACTCCTTCCAATGTGGCCTATTTGGTGATCTAAATTCTCCTACCGTCTGTTCTACAACGCATTTGTTAATTGCGATATTTATACAGATCTGCCTTGTTTGCTTGTAGCACGCAGAAGAAAACATCGGCGTCTCGGTTTGCGGTTATCAAGTAGGAGGCTGTTCTCTGAAAGCCCTACCGAAGTGGCCTCTCCGTCGGCAGAGTCTCCTTCCTCGAGTGACGACAGGTCTGTGTCATCTCCGCAAGTTGAAACCCAACTCTCGTCGAAACCTACCGTCTATCCGAAAAGGCGTCGGCTAGGGATGAAGTTCAGGCCCACAGTATCCTCAACAGCTCCACTGCCTTCTTTTCCCCCTTGCCGCGTCGTTCTCCAGGTCTGAAATGTTTCACAACTAAACATTTTATAACACTTACTTATTAGTTTATAGTAGATAGTATTTACGCTTTCAATATAGTTTGTATTTCCTGCCGGTCAAGGTTCCATCTCAAAACTTTGTCATGTGTTTTACTGACACTGTGCCCTTACCCGATACATCTGCAAGGATGTCGACGGGTCAGTTGACTCTCCAGTATTCTGCGTGTGACTTCAGGCATGTATACCAATGTTGGACTTGTGGCTTCATTATTAATTACGTGACTTGCGGTGTAGTATTTGGTGCCAAGTTTTTTAAGGTTCGAAACCGGGAGTAAAATTAACATTTGACCTCCGTTTTGTCAGTTCGCGGAAGTTAGTTACGCACTATTTGCCGTCCACCAGCGACCAATCAGTCTGCAGCTTTCCTCTGGGGTTTCTAGTACCCACTTTGTCGGACCCATTTCATGCAATCAAAAATGTTTAATCCATTTGACATTACCTTAAGTTCACAAGTTTACTTGCTAGCGAAATTATGAGCTAATCATTTACGGCTTTGTTTTACCGCATAACGATTGTGAAACCTACTATTTTTCGGCAGGTACACAGTAGTAAAAAACATAGCTAATCTAAGTAAAATTAAGTTCAGACCGTTGGCTAAGATATATTTTTACATTGCAAGTTTTCTAGAGGCCGTAGCCCTCGTAATGATTATTTACCTAGACCTCCCATTCGTTAAAGTTACATCAAATGGCTTTCTGGAAGTCCCTCTTCAATCCTCTTTTAGCCGCTGCCGGAAACGGATTTAGTTGATGCCTCAGCAGACGCCTGTCATTCGTCCTTCTTTCTGACTGCTCCGGTCACTATGCCGGGTTCCTCCTTCCGCAGTACTTACAGCAGCCAGCGCACTTCGCCTCCGTGTCTGAGCGACGCGTCGCCCAGTTTTAACTTCTCCTGGACCTTACCAAATACGCCATCAATATGCGCCTCATCTAAAAAACCTGACTTACACACCACCCCCTTAAAGGTGAAAATACCCGATCCAGACTTTAACCTTCACTCCTCCAGTCTGGTTACGTACAAAAATAGGCGACCGCCATCCTTCAGTCAGGTCGAAAGCCAGCTATTCGAACGAAAACCCACCTGCGAAACGCGACCAAGTAGCCAAGCGAAAAATCCCCCCGAGGTAGGCGGAACATTTGACGCTTCTGCGGTCTGGTTAACTTGCATTCTATCCAACTAGCAGTATCTGTTGTTTTCATACTGAAGGTTTTACTGATCGGTTATTAATCACAGGGAAGTCAAGCGAGTGACTTGGACGCAAAAGTTGACTTGTCAATCTCCATTTCGGACCTCTGGTGGTCGGCGTTCGCCTCTAGACCAAGGCGTCCTTCAGCAGCCCCTCTGTCCAAAGACTCGGCTTCTCGTCGTGCACTACTTCCAGTTCAGGTAATCGCTGTTTTTAATATACAGTATGGCAGGGAAGTCATGCAAAATGCTGAACTTTGTGAAATATTGGTAATCACTCGGAATTTGAAGCATCTTCTTCCTGGTGCAAATTTGATGATCGTGTAGGCAACCTTAGACGTTTCTTCCCCCATTTTTGCTTCCCACAGCGTTTAACTTTCTTACGTTATTGATTGTCTCTTGGCCATCTCCTGTGACCTTGCTGTTTGTATCGATTTTTCTGTATGAATTTAATTTTGTATTTTCTCTTACGTTACTCACGTTATGCAACGAGAAGAACTAACTGATGAGCACTCTCGAAATTAATGGATCAAAAAATTTTCTGTTTACACGATCTTCAAATCACCCGGAAACTGGCATTAACGCATGTATGAAAACCTAGAAATAACGAACAACCTTAAGCGAATTTGTTACTTAAAGGAAATGTAAAGGTGGTAATCGTTTTTTAAGAAAAATAAAGTTTTCTCAATAATAGTCACGTTCTGCAAACGTGGAAATTGGCTATAGATTAGAACAATAAATTTAAATCTTTCAGAAGGTGAATTGTCGAACATACGTTTGTTTTTGATAAATTCTCTTCAAGCCTTTACATTTGTATGGTAATTAAGTAAAGAAACTTTGTGAGTTGGTAGAAAAAATAGTACGGTTGTCAGGGGAGGAGGAAGGGGGGAATCAGGATCAAGATCTGATCAGCATTAGGGGGGACTGGTAGTTGGCCGAGGTGATAATCTGCTGGCTGTTGGATAAGCGGCTTTTGGTCATGGTGACTGCGTCGCCGCGACGAAGTTCTTTTGGGCGCACAGGACCGGTCGGCGTAGCCTAATGGCGGCTGCTTCTGTCATAACCAACAGAAATGGTGAATAGCTTGAGGGTTCCTTGTAGATCACTCGGAAGTCCCCTTTGGCATCCAAGCGATGGTCTGCGTCTACCAGGTGTGCT